ATAAAGTCTGTGTGTGCCGTGTGTTTATTAAAGACGTTCAGCTGCTGTTTGAGTCTCTGATCGTGCTGCTTTCAGTTTCACGCTCTGAGCATGCTCTGTTTAAGACGTCATCATCATCAGATGACTCCCCGCAGCGTTCTCCGGAACAGCCGGCGTCGCCACTCTGCACTGCTACAATGACGCGCCTGCACGCCCGTGTCACGAGGTGTACGCTACGCTTTGTTCACACAGCATCAACAGGACAAGTTCAGCCCTTCGGATGGAGGTCAGGTTTACGGAGGCGTGCAGGTCTGAGAGCAGCGTGGAGATGAACGGCAGCGATGCTGGCGTGTGGCGGTGAACTGCCCGAATGTGAGCGCGAACACTTGCTCGCCACAACTGTAAGTACAGCTGGGCGTGACGTGATATTCACTTTACTAGGAACCCCAGAAACCAAAGCTTCAGTGAAACGCTTTCACTCGACCCTGAGAGAAGAGACATTGATGACCATCAGATCCAGGCTGCACTCGCTCCGTTTCACAGGAAACACGATTCACCATAAAAACCTGGGCTGATCGGCCCCAGTGCACAAACTGGGGGGTCGTCAGAAACCAGGCCGGTGCACACGCTAGCATTAGCCATCTGTTATCATTAACGTAGCAATGTTGATGAATTGGAGCTCAGCGGGAGATCGAGCCGTGACAGAGCAGATTACGGACGCGTGGACCAGGAGGGGAGTGGAGGACCAATCGGACGGTTTCAGGCCTGAAGAGCTGAGGACCAAAGAGCTGCACGCTTCCTGCTTCATGTGTTTCTGGCTGCGTTGGAGCAGCTGTGAGGTCAGTTTTAGCTAACGGCTAACTCACAGCACACGTTACCATAACGCTCTCAGCAATAACGAAATGGTTTCCATGTGTTTGCCGTCGTCGTGCCGTTTGCCGTCGTCGTGCCGTTTGCCGTCGTCGTGCCGTTTGCCGTCGTCGTGCCGTTTGCCGTACCCTTTGGTCTAAAATACATTTCACCTTCAAATCTGTGAAGAGCTTTTATTCATTTCAGTCTTAAGCTCTTATTTTGTTTACTCTTAACTTCTAATTGGAAAAGAACACGTTCATCTTCTTCATCATTACTTTTGGGGTCAAAGTCTTCCCCGTGGTATCGAGTCACGCCGTCGCCTCAAAGCTGACCCAGCTGCTCAGCCTGTTTTTAGCGAGCAGCGCAAATCTCTGCAGGCTGGAAAAAAGAAGCTCCATCCCAGAGCGCGGTGCAGGCCTCTCAGGCTCCACAGCTGCTAAGCTAATTAGCCTCGGTCTCAATCTAATCTGCAGGAGGCTGCAAGCTGCTGCTGATCCCTCTCAGCCAGAGCTAATGGACAACAATTAGCACCACTGATTTTCTGCACAATGGAGCACGGAGGGGGGGCTGTTAATAGCTCTGATGTGAACACAGGGTGGGGGGAGTGTGTGTGTGGGCAGTGATGAGGCTCACAGTCCACACAAGTCGAGCACGATCAATCACAGCAGCAGCAGCAGCAGCTGCCTTTATGGAGATCCTGTGTGTGTGTGTGTGTGTGTGTGTGGGGGGGGGGGGGGGGGGGGGGGGCGGCGCGGCTTTCAGGCGACGGCAAGAAGAACAACATCATTAAACAAATGAAAACCAGGGAGCTTTGAATTAAATCTCAATCACAGAAAATGCGGTACTCCGACCTAAAACTTCACTGCTATTAAAGTAAAATGTTATCTGAGCTGATAGGTTTGTAGCTTGAACCTATTCGCTGGAACGTTGAAGACAATATAATTACACAGCAAGCAAGACACGAAGTAGGCAAAGTTCTTCATGTTTCTCGTGCACGGGAGAGAACCGGACAAACGCCGTTCCTTCGCTTGACCCCAGTTGCTCTCGTCTGTTCCCCCGTAACACTGCTCTTTTATTGAGGTTACATGAATATGCATAGGGTCATTAACATATGACGTCTACATACACACAAAGAGTACCGTGTGTGTGTGTGTGTGTGTTACTGCTGATCAAAGGGTCCTATAACATAAAAGCAAACATCCTTGGTCAGGAAGAGGGTAGTCTCACCCTAGATGAGGTGAGGTGAGGAAGTCCAGCAGTTAAAGCACTTAGACTAGAACAGACGTAGCTACGTTAATCCTACCATAAAACAATAAGACAAGGTACGACCTCTCTCATGCTCCCAGAGTGCTCTCTAATGCACACAAAGTTTGCAGACTATCAAGGATCAAACCTCTACCAATCTACAACTAATATAAAACTCTAAGCATATATAAGTAGATATTTCTAAGCAGAAATGGCAATCAGCAATACAAAACCTAACAGTGCGGACCCTGCAGACAAACCCCAACAATCAGATGACATGTGAGCACACGCTTGGTGACAGTGGAAAGGAAAAACTCTTTTATCAGGAAGAAACCTCCGGCAGAGCCAGGCCCCCAACAGGGAGCCAATGAGGAGAAGCCAGCATGGTGGAAGTCCGAGCTCTCGCTGCAAACATCTCCAGATGTCTCCCATGTAACAAAACATGTCACAGCACGCTGCACCTCTGTTCTGGGCCCGGGGCCACATGTTTGACACATCTGTGCTGGGACGAGGACCCTGCATTAATGGACGGAAGCATCGATGGGATGTGGCGTGTTAGCTGCTCGAGCGCACACAGCCACCATTAGAATGCGGACGCTGTGATGGGAGCAGCGAGGTGAAGGACAGGCCTTCATGGGCTCAGGGCCGAGTGAAGCAGAGGCTCAGCAGCTGAAGCCTTCTTTGCTTTAACGAGTCAGCGACTGGCACTCTTCCAGCTCCACTCAGAGCATCGCTAAAAACGGGACAGTTCCTAATGCGTCTCTGTGTTTAACGGCTGTAAGCTCAGCTGTTTCTTCCTGCTCTGACGTCCAGAGAGGTGTGTTTTATTGTGGAAAGTAAAAGTCAGTGATGGTTCATGTCATAAATCAGGACACACTGCTCACACACCTGTGACGGCATCGATGCTCCTCACAGATGGAGCAGGAGGAGGCGACATTAACCAGCTGATGAACCTCCAGCTGTGTGACCACAGGACAGCGACGCCTGACCCGGCGTCCTGAGTCAGGACCGGACCGATCCAAATATCGGATCGATGTCTTCTTAATGAGAGCTCCTCTGCACCGCACTTCCTCTCAGACTCGCTCTTATTACATTTCATTCAAAGTGACAGGGGAGGGGCCTGTCCAGGCTTTAAACAGGCTGAGGACATCCCCCGTTTCCCTCCACCTCGCCAGGCAGGAGCCGGCCCCGCCCCCTGCAGACAACGCTAATGCCTTTATTCGTTTCTCAGAGTCCATTAACGGGCACTAAGCCTTCCTGCGGTCTCCATCACTGCACGCTCCCAACACTCTGCAAACCTCATCCATCTCCAACCACTTATCAAAGTTACAGTCACGACTCCACCTGGAGACGCTCCGTCCGAGGGAGCTTACAGGAAGCGGGGTTCACGCCGACCTCGTCTCTGCTTTACCTTGACCTAAAAACACAGATGCAGACGCGTCTGCAGTACTGCGCCCTGAGCAGCGCCTGCAGGTGCAGCGCGCCTGTCAGAGCGCTGAGCAGCAGCGTGTCATGAGAGCAGGAACTCAGGGCCAAACAGACACAAATAACTCAGCGCGCTGCGGCGGCGCCGAGAGGAAGATGATAATTCCTGTTAAAAACACGGCGTTACCTTTGATGTGAAAACAACACAAAGTGAAGTGTTACATAAAGATGGGGGAGGTGACAGAAAGAGGGCGGCGTGCAAATGAAGAGGGAAGACAGGAAGTAAGTTCACGGCTGATTCGAGCTCAGCGAGCGTCTGAGCGGCACTTCAAACGAGTGTGACCTGGATTCATTCATCAGACCTCAAAAACGCCAAAACTTCACAGATCACACCTCTGACTCCCACAGCCGCACGCCAGGAAAACAGGAAGTCCCGCCTTTCAGCGTCGGCTCGCCTTAGACTGCACGCTCAGCGGTGAGCTTCCTGCTTGCAACCCGCCACCGTCACTTTGACCTGCAGTTCATCAGGAAAACGCTGACACATCAGAACAGCCCCGATAACGGCGCCACAGACTCCCCGCCAGCACCTGCCAATCAAAACCAAGCACACCCAGTGATTGGACACTGTGCTGAGAGGCGGGGCCAGGTGCTCAGAGTGAGGAGGGTTTCCTGGATTCACACTAAGCTTCTTATTTCAGCCGCGGCGTCACGGAGGCGTGCTGAGCGTTGGAGGTCATTTGGATGTGTCCCCCTGCACACCTGAGCGTCACGCTTACAGGCTGCCTCGCTCGCCCCACCGTGAACTGTAAACAACTCATTTTTGTGACGCCCCGCTCTGTTCAAGCAGCAGACGGCAGGTGGGCGGGGTTGAACAAACAGCTGCGCGGTCACGCTCGGGTGGAGCTTCCTGGGCAGCAGAGCAGACGTCTCACGGCAGGTAAGCCCGACTCCATCCGTCCTCCATAAACAGCAGAGTGACGACAACCTCGCGTTATGAGTTTGTTCCAAACTGAGCTCGGAGAAGCAGTTTACCTGCTCAAACACCTGAGGAGACCGACACACCTGAGCCTTCATGAGTTAAACCTGAGCTTTAGCTTCAGTGGGAGGAGCTCTGCTTACTGAAGTAATATGATGAAAACCACGTGGACGTCACACCTGCATCACCAGCGCCGCCTGGTTTCTCTGATGACATCAGCAGTCAGTCAGGAGATGATTGGGGACATTTACCGATCACTATTATCGATCACTGACTGTGACCCCGAGCCACGTATGGATTAGTCAGCAGGTCAGAGGTCAGGAGGCCTGAGCATCATGTGACTGCTATCAAGCTCACATTAGAACACAGTGTTTCACACACAGGATCCAACACCAAGCAGTTACTCACATACAGGGCTCTTAATTTGAAAAGTCAGTGGTGCACACACACGCAGAAGCAGCCGTGGCCCGAGCCCCCGGGCTGACCCTGACCAGCAGAGCCAGAACCAGAGAGGAGGTCTTACCCCTGCCGGTCTCCGTCCACCAGGATCCGAACCAGGATGCCGGTAACAGCCACCAGGATGGGGTAGTGGTCCACGCTCTCCAGCCCTGCAGGAGGAACAGAGTTCATCAGAGTGGCACGACTGCGAATCCGACCGGATGATGGACGCTGAGGGGGCGTGTCTCTCATTGTTATTACCATAACCCTAATATCAGTGATCCTGGCCTGTGATGCGTTGAGCTCCCTCCTTTCACAGAGCGTGACATCACGTGTTCTCACTAACACGCTCCATGTTTTTAGTTGTTGCCGTCTGTCATTCACACTCTTTAAACCTTTAAACCTCGTGCTCCTCGCACGTCCTGGTCGGACGGAGTTCAGGCGGAGCTCTGGATCACATCTGCGTGCATGAAAGCAGCACGCAGGTGTGATCAGGCCTGCAGGTGTTTGATGGATCAGGTCACTGTCATCATATTTCAGAGCGTCTAAAGCAGAGACGGGCTGCTGATCAGTATTACTTGGATCCTGCCATCAGAGCCGGCCCACACACCTGATTGGAGGCCTCGGCGAGGCACGCCCACACCTGCAATTAAATTATCCCAGAAATAACCTGGAAAGGTGTCATTATCATTATCAGGTGGTAATAAGAAGGCTGCTGCCAGTCGGCTCAAACTATAAATCATCAGCGCTGCGACAGACGGGTGACCTGTGCAGGTGTACCCTGCATCCCACCCCCACAACACACACACACACACACACACACACACACACACACACAGTTAAAGGAGGCGATGACCTCCCTATAAACACGGTGGCTGTGTGGGCGGAGCGAGTGAGGATGTTGCTGAGGTCCAATCAGCTCACAGCAGTGATGATAACAGGAGTGAAATAATCAGCTGGGCTAAAGCAGAGTTAAACGTTTATTTGGGAAAAGGTGAGGTCACAGCATGCCGCTCCTGCTATGGCACAGCGACGTTTCCATCAGGAGGAGCGTGAGGGCCTCCCGCTGAGCGCCATCAATGAATCACACGAACTCACAGCGAGCCAACAGCTGGAAGAACCAATTAAAGAGGCAGGAAACCACACGTGGTTATTGTCCTCCTGCTGATGGACGCTCACGCTTCTGCTGAAGGTAAAAACCTATTTCTGTCAGGAAGCAGGATGTAGACAATCATGCATGGATGGACTTTCAAAACTGTTTATTTTCTTCCTTGTTGGTGGCAACGTTTGACATTTTTAAAGATCAGTGGAAATTTCAGCATAAAATAATTCTTTATGGTCATTTTGGGCATGTCTGACCCCCTCTGATGACCGACTCCACTCAGGCTAGCATCAGGCTTTATAAGATAGCTGGTGTTAGCCAACAATGGAGAGGAAGAAAGCTTCAAACAAGAAGCAGAGGCCGAAAACCAGGAAGTGGAGAACCTGTACATTTGACTTCAGAGTGTCTCTGTGTCTGTCTGTCTGTCTGTCTGTCTGTCTGTGTGTGTGTGTCTGTGTGTGTCTGTCTGTCTGTCTGTGTGTGTGTGTCTGTGTGTGTCTGTGTGTGTGTGTCTGTGTGTGTGTCTGTGTACCTGGCAGTCTGAGGTTGACGACTCGGTCAAACAGGTTCTTCTCTGCTGTCACTCGGTTCAGCACCTGGTTCAGCAGCTGCACGTGAACAAAAACATGAGTGAGGCTCCGCCCGCTGTGATGTCACAGGAAATATGACATCACGGTCACTCCTCTCAGTAGCCACTCAGAAATGTGTGCTGATGTGGGCGGGTTTATCAGTGCGTGGCGGCGTTTGAGTTCACATAAACCTGAGTCCATGGTTAATTCTGCTGTCGGCTGATTGGCTGCCGACTCATCGTTAAATATTCTAAGCTGGCTGGTTTTTGGGTCATGTGACCGGGGCGCCGTAGAAGGCCGGGATGGGGGGGCAGGTGACATCATCTCCATCTCCTCCTGAGGAAATTTCTCCTGGCGTTGTGGGCGGGGCTGGAGCTGAACTGAAGCTTTTTTAATATTCGTGTCTGCTTCCTGTTCTGGAGCTCCAATAAGGAGCAGCAGCTGTGATCACATGACAGCGCTCTGCAGTCCGACGCCGCTCACATTTATCTCTCTGCTGGCTGTTCTCGTGCTGCTCTGATGATAAGCAGCCAATTAATTCAGTCTGACTAACAGACCGAAGGCTGTAGTTGTTTTAATTCACGATTCGCTGAAGTCGCCGCACAGACCGTCTGTGACATCACACGTTTTTGTTTGAACCCAATAAAAACTGTTTTATCATCGACTGTGCAAGAAAAGATCAAAATCACATTACCTGGTCTGAAACCGGCCAATAACGAGCTCCGACTGTGTCGCAGTGAAACTAAACCCGGCAGCGCCTCACCTGAGCGAGCCGTCTGAGCAGCAGCTCCGCGGAGGGGCGGGACCAGTCCAGGAAGATCTCAGGCACCAGAGTGACGGTCATCTCGAGCACCCGCAGCAGGCTGACCGACAGGTCGAAGCAGGTCGCACACACCTGCAGGTGACACCGCTAATCAGAAGCTGCAGGTTAACCTGTGGGCGGTGACCACACCTGTCACACCTGAGCCGCGTTACCTGAGCGAACCCGGCTGAGTGACTCAGATTACCTTCAGCTGACGAGTGTCCACAAAGTTCCTCTCTGGACGCTCCGCGGCCTGCTGGATCTGTGAAGACACAACCAATCAAAAAAAAGCACCTGTCGCAGCTGTTTCTGCCCCGCCCCGTTAAGTACCCTCCTCCTTTCTGATTGGCTGCCCCCAACTAACAGAATGTTTGAGCAGCATGTGGATGGAGCTGTCCCTCTATGACTTCATGCAGATCCAGAGGGGGCGTGGGATCACAGGCGTCGCTGTGCACGCACTGAGGCAGCTTTGAAGGTGCCGGGCTTTCTGCCTGAACCTCTGCAGGCGTGAAATCGAGGAGCCGCGTCGAGCTTCGTGTTCGCCAGTTTGAACCGAAGCAGCAGACGAGGAGGTGGACAGCGAGGAACGGAAACATGAGCCTAATCTCTGAAACGCTGCGAGCGCTGGCCTGGCTGAAAATACCCCGGCGCCCCGCAGGAATACGATCAATTACAGCGCTGAGTGGATGATTCGCTGCAGGATTTCCAGAAAAGCCCGAATAATCTTATTAAAGGGAAACAAAGCTCAGAGCTAAAGCTGACACTCCTCAGGCTGGGCTCGCTCTCGTGTTTCACTCAGAGGTCAAACACGCTGCGAACACATCCTCAACCTTCAGTTCACAGCAAAGCACGACGAGCAGGAAGTGAGGTCGGCCCGGCCTCAGCTGTGAGTGCACCTGCGAGGTCACAGTGGGCACATCTGTCAGGTGATGTCGTGTCAGCACGAAAACTAGGAACCTCTTCCTAAACCTGCGCTCTGTGTAACATCCAGCAGGGGGCGACTGCACTGGTTTTATAAAGAAGTCTGTGAGAACAGGTCCTGCTCGTCGCCCGAGGACGCGGGGCCACGTTTGGATGGATCTGACCTTAGATCAGTTTTAGAGGAGCTTTCAGGTTCAGAGGATGTTTCTCCATCGTGGTCAACGCGTGGCGGAGCAGCAACCTGCACGTGTGGACGCCGAGCTGCTGAGCCGTGCACGGATTTATCAGAGCGGTGATTGAAGGTTGTCGGCCTCGTCCCCGCGCACAGAGTCCTCCAGGTCCTCTGAGCATGCGGACGATGCTGTGGGAATGTGGGAAATCTGAAGCAGACTGAAACGAATGATCTGCGTTTATGAAGAGCTCCAATCAAACTTTACTTCAGTATCAGTAATTAGTAAAGTGAGTCGGAGGTACTGAGTATAAATATTAAAGACATTATTAAACATGCTGTAACGGGACATGAATACTAATGAGACTATTTCAGGGTTTTTAAGCACTCGTCGTTTCTGTTGATGTTTAAATAATGAGAGTTGGTGTTTCTGGACCTTCTATTCAACGCCGTGTCCTGCGCGTCCTCCCCCGCACCTGCTGGGACTCTGGTTGTTCTTACCTCCTGGATCATGCCGATGAACTCTGAGAAGGCCCAGTTGAGTTGGTTCAGGACGCTGTTGAGGAAAGAGGCGGCCATGTCTTTATCCATGCTGAGCAGCTCCGCCATGTGTCTCTGCAGCAGCAACGACGGGCACGGCTCTGAACCAATCAGATGACAGAGGACAGGTGAGCAGAGAGAAAGCAGAGGACCGGACGCCGCCCGTCCCGCCCCGGCAGCAGCAGCAGGTGTAGGACGCCGTGACAGCGTTACAGACACTCGCCGTTTCCTCCATGTACATGTACAATGACAATAAAGGCCTATTCTATTCTACTCTATTCTACATGTCTGTCATATTCTTCAAAACCAAAGCAAACATAAGTGAAAGGAAACGGGACACTGAGGGAAAACGGTCACAGACACACAGAGGAGGGACGGAGGAGGAAGGACACGGCAAAGAGAGCAGGGAACACTGAGGAGAGGAGGAGGAGGCAGCAAATAGATGAAGGACGGCTCTCTGGCGCTTCGGCCTCCTCCGGGAGCTGACGGCAGCTCCGTGGAGTCATTAAATCCAATCCTCTCCTCTCTGCCCTCTGAACAATATAACAAAAAACACCCGCTGAGTCTCAAGTACGATGCTGTGAGATGCGTCCCAGTTGGGGTTTATTACTGGGGCGGGTTTTGATAATTGATTTATCGATTGGCTTGAATAACGTGATATCGATTCATTAAAATCCTGAATCGATTTTTAAATATAAATTTATTTTGCCCAAAACGCCAGAATCTCAGGTTAAACCTCACAAAATTTAAACAACCACCAAAACAGTAAATGAGAGCAGGAACACGATTCTGCACGAAGACGTAAACACAAAGGGGGATCTGAGGGGATCTGCGCCATCTCGATGGTCTGTTAGGTCCAAAGACGGTGGTACTGCCTGGGTCTGCCTTGAGTTGGGCCCTGCTGACTCGACTCCCTGAATGCTGCAGTTTTATCGTGGGGGTGTTGATTCCTGTGCATGAGAGTTTCTATAGAGAGGTGTAAATATGGGCTGTCTGGATACACGAATGTGATGAGGCTGAGAGCCATACAGGGGTAAAGGGGTGGGGGGGATGGTGGGAGGGGTTCACATGATGGGTTTTCTGGTTTCCTCACTTTTTTTTTTTTGAGTTTTGTTTTGTTTTGTTTGTTTTAAAAAATTCTGTAATTATCAATGTTGTTATGCTATTATTATTATTATTATTATTATTATTATTATTATTATTAAAAATAAAAAATATGTACTGATCTGAATTATAATATTTGTGACTGTCTGAAGCAAAGTTTCCCAGATTCAAATCGAATCGATTCTAGAAACCAGTGACGATACCCAGTCCTATTTATTACTGGGATTACTGAGTTTTTCTGGGCTCCATCAGCACAGCTACAGATTTGATTTCTTATGACTGAAGGAAACTAAAAAATAAAAAGTGCCAGAGCCGTTTACACGGAGCACAAATATGAATCCAATTAACAAGGAAACGAAGCTATTAGGCCTCGAGCTTTAAACAGAGGCAGCCGCCACGAGCGCACAGCAGCTGCATTATGAGCACCACCCAGACCGCCTCCGCCTTTTATATTTGTCCGTTTTTCCACCGAACGACGTCCAAAGATGAGCTCACAGTAAGACAACAATCCAACAGAGTTTCTGTAATGAGTCATAATGAAGAACGAAGGAAAAAGCTCGATGTGGACATCACGCGAGACAGACTCCAAGTATCCAGAGCAGGATGTCGAACTCTTCTTCTGCTGCGGGAAACAAACAGCTCACTTTGGTCTCAGGCCGGACCAGCGAGCGCCGCGTCAGCTTGAAGACGTTCAACGACACGTGTAACCCGTGACGTGTGACCACGCCTCACTTTGAATGCCTGTCAGCTGTCAGATGATAAGAAACGAGTCAAACTCTCGACTGTCCTGTGATTACCAAACAAGCTTTCTGCTCATTTTTGGCAGTAATCTATTTTAAAGTCAACAGTGAAAAAAACTGGAATTTTTTATTTTTTTTTCAAGGTTCAAGGTTCTTTATTCGTCACATGCATAGTTATACAAGTATAACACAGTGAAATGTAGCCTGACACGCTCCTCGACATGTGCAAAAATTGTGGGGGGGGGGGGGTGGTAGAGGAAGAGGATATATACACACACACACATACATATATATATATATACATATATATATATATATATATATACACAATACACATATATATACACATATATACATATATATACACATATATATCACACATATACACATACACACATATATACATACACATATATACACATACACATATATATATAACACATACACACATATAATATATACATATATACACATACACACATATATATACATATATACATATACACACATATATACACATACACACACATATATACACATACACACATATATACACATACACACATATATACATATACATATATATATATACACATACACACATATATATATATACACATATACACACATATATATATACACATATACACACACATATATATACACATACACACATATATATATATATATATATATATATATACACACACATATACATATATACACACACATATATATATATATATATACATACACACACATATATACACACATACACACACATATATACACATACACACACATATATACACATACACACACATATATACACATACACACACATATATACACATACACACACATATATACACATACACACACATATATACACATACACACACATATATACACATACACACACATATATACACATACACACACATATATACACATACACATATATATATATACATAATATATATATACACACATATACACACAATACATACACATACACACATACATACATACACATACACACATACATATATACAGATATACACATACATATATACACATATACACATACATATATCAATACTATATACTCATACCATATATACATACATATACATATATACACATATACAATATATACATATACAACTACATTATACATATACACACACACACACACACACACACACCACACACCAACACATATATATATATATATATATATATATATATATATCATAACTATATATATATATATAATATATATTATATATATACATCACATATTATATATAATAATATATATATATATATATATATATATATATATATATATATATATAGTATATACACTGGGTGAATGTGCAGTAGTAGCAGCAAGCAGGTGAATTCTGTACATTAATATGAATAGACTATCTGACTATTTTACAGGATAGACAATATAAACATATTTAAAATTAAAGGAATTGAAATGTACATTGTGCCTTGGTTTAGTGTCTGGAAGAGTCCTGTCTCAGTCAATTATAGATGATGTGAGAGGGCGGGTGTGTGTGTTTAGGGCACGGATGGCTTGGGGATAGAAGCTCCTCTTGAGTCTCTCTGTCCTTGCCCGGAAGATGCGGAACCTTCTACCAGATTGCAGAAGTTGGAACAGTTTGTTGCCAGGATGGGACGGGTCCTTCAGTATCTGCCTCTTAGTCCGGCATCTCCTGGTGTAGGTGTCCTGAAGCGGGGGGAGAGCAATCCTGCAGCAGCGTTCTGCTGTACGGATCACTCTCTGGAGAGCTTTTTGGTCCTTCACACAGCTGTTCCCAAACCACGATGTCATGTTCTGTGTGAGGATGCTCTCCACAGCGCCTGTATAGAAAATCCTGAGGATCTTTGGAGAGACCCTGAACTTCCTCAGTTGTCGTAGGTGATACAGGCGCTGCCTAGCCTTTTTGGTCTGGACCTGAATGTGGGCAGCCCATGTCAGGTCTGAGGAGATGTGGACACCAAGATACTTGAAGGACTGCACCCTCTCCACTGGAGCTCCATTGATGATAATGGGCTTGTAGTCTCTGTGCTGACTCCTTCTGAAGTCCACCACCAGCTCCTTGGTCTTGCTGACGTTCAGCTGGAGGTGGTTGTCCTGGCACCACGATGCCAGATTCTTCACTTCATCCATGTAGGCCGCCTCATCGTTGTTGGAGATGGCACCCAACACCACTGTGTCGTCAGCAAACTTCACAATGGTGTTGGAGCCATGGGTGGCCACACAGTCTGAAGTGTAGAGGGAGTAGAGCAGTGGCGAGAGGACACATCCCTGAGGTGCTCCTGTGTTGATGGTGATGCTGTTGGAGAAGCACCTGCCCACCCTCACCACCTGAGTTCTGCCAGTGAGGAAGTCCAACACCCATGCACACAGACGGCTGTTAAGTCCCAGATCCCTCAGCTTTGTGAACAGTCTGCAGGGCACTATTGTGTTAAACGCTGAACTGTAATCAACAAACAGCATTCGCACATAGTTACCCTGTTTCTTGTCCACGTGGCTGAGAGTGGTGTGTAGGACGTGGGCGATGGCATCCTCTGTGGATCTGTTGGATCTGTAGGCGAACTGCAGCGGATCTGTGGTGTCTGGGATGGAGGAGGAGATGATGTTCTTCAGCAGCCTCTCAAACACCTTCATTACTACCGAGGTCAGTGCAACTGGCCGGTAATCGTTCAGGGATGAGGGTTTGCTGTTCTTGGGCACAGGGATGATGGTGGATCTTTTGAAGCATGTGGGGACCACAGACTTCGCCAGGGACTCGTTGAAGATGTAAGTGAACACACCTGCTAGCTGGTCAGCACAGCAGCGCAGCAGACGGCCGGTGATGCCGTCTGGCCCCGCCGCTTTCCTTGTGTTCACTCTCCTCAGTGCCGCTCGGACGTCATGCTCCGCGATGCTGGTCACCGGTCTCTCGCTGATGACGTCACTGTCCTCGGTAGTCAGGCGGTAGATAGCATTAGCCGCCTGGCTAACCTCGAAACGGGCGTAGAACCGATTCAGCTCGTTGGTGAATGCAGAGTCGGCGTTGATCGGCGCAGTGTCCCTGGCTTTGTAGTCCGTAATGGTGCGTAGTCCGTGCCACATACTCCGTGTGTCGCCCTGGTGGAAGCGGGACTCCACACGTTCCCGGTACCTGCGTTTGGCATCTCTCATCGCGCGCCGCACGCCGTATGAGGCCGCTTTGTAGGCGCTCATATCGCCAGTGGCGAGACCCGCGTTGTAGGAGGCGGTCCTGGCGTTTACTGCAGTGCGGATCGATCTGTCCATCCACGGTTTCTGGTTTGGGAATGTGGTGGCTCTCGCAGTGGGGATAATCTCCTCCGCTAGCATATTGACGAAGCATACTGCTACTTCCGTAAAGTCGTTGATGTCGACTGCGCATGCTCTGAACATGTCCCAGTCTACGTCGTTGAGTGCGTCCTGTAGCGTAGCTTCTGATTGGGCAGTCCACCGTTTTACTTCCTTCGTGGTCACGTCTTCCCTCCGTGTGCTTTGTTTATACTGGGGAATGAGGAAACCTTATAGTACATAGAATGTAATAGAATTTAATAGAATAGAATAGAATAGAATAGAATAATCCTTTAATTGTCCCACAAGGGGAAGTTTGGTTGTAACAGCAGCCAAAAAGATACATATTAGCATAACTGTTATTATTATTACTAAATCACCTGAATGGTGGGTCTTTATCACCAAGAAAAGAAACAGACTCTGAAATAACTTTCAAGAATTGTCCACAGACTGGAGTCTTTGCTGGGCCAATTCTGGCCCCTGGGCCTTATGTTTGACACCCCTGATCTAAAGCAAAAAATGACCAAGATTCAGATCAGCTGGAGAGGAAAAAAACCCTCAACGGGGGCAGCTGTGCCTCCAACCTGAAACGCTGAGTATCGACCGAGTTCCACCAGAGGGTCGTTTATAGATTAAGTACAACGTGCACTTCTGGCTGAGTCAGGCTGAGGAGGCTCAGGAGAGAGCAAGGAAGGGAGCAGGAGACAGAGACAGCGAGGACAACACTGGGAGAGGTGAAATGATGAACTTACTCTGGAAACTAGCAATGGACAGATCTCCTGAAAGGCATGCAAAGGAGAAGCACAGAGAAGTCAGCGTCCGTGCAGCAGTAAGACTCTGGTGGGACACAAACAGGATTCAGCACCACGGACAGAGCTTCTGTCCCAGTTCATATTCACGACACAGTCACTACCACGCCCTCTGACTTCAGCCACGCCCTCCGACCCATGCCACGCCCTGAGTCTGACCGATTACTCATCTTTAACCTCTGGTTTTTGCACTCTCACAGTGTACCACCCTCATCCATCCCTCGGTTTTAGAGACGAGGAGAGGGGTTCGAGCTCTGTGCCTGTGCTCTGTATGCTGACCCAGCAGATCATCAGCAGGAATAACAAACTGGGAAACACGAGCGCCCAAACCTGATGGGAGGCGTAGCGTAGTGTAGTCGGCATGCTGGACGTAGAAGAGGCAGTGGCTCTATCACTCCGTCTCTATTCTGTGTTTATTCTGTCTCTACTGAATCTCTATTCTGTCCTTTGGGAGTGCGCTGAGAAGCTGGAAGGAGCACTCAGAGTGAGGCAGACAGATCCAAGACAGTCAGTGAAGAAGAGGAGGAACTGAGGGAAGCTACGAAGAGGACGAAGATTGGACGGTGCAGATAAAACACCTGTGCAGGTATGGAGACGTCCAGGAGAGAGGCTGGTGTATAACTGACCTAAAGTAATGAATGAATTTCCCCTTTAAAATAATTTAGTGAGCTACTTTCCTTTTTGCACTGTTGTTATTTGAGCATGTCGAGATGTTTTATTGCATTTGGCTTTTACTTTTCCACCCTGAGCTCTTTAAAAACCCACTGAGGAGCGTCACAGAGTCAGTGAGGGGGTGCAGGGCAGGTGTTTTTGTATGCAGACGCTCCCATAAAGCACCGCAGGCCGGGATCAGAGGGCGTGAACGGGCTGCTAAAGTGCCTCCACGTGACGATCCACAGCTCGGCGTGCGAGGACCGAGCAGCGCTTCACTCTGAGAGCAGATGTTTCTGCATGATGTCGACGGCGAGTCGAGGCCGTCTGTGTTTTTCAACACAAACACTGAAGCGCTGCAGAGCCGCTTCCTAAAATAAAACGTCAGTCTTCATCTCGGCACAAACATCACACACAACTTTGGTGATTCATTTCTGACGTTCACCTCCACAAACGCTGATGATTAAAGCCGTAAATCACAGCGAGCTGCGGCAAAAATAAACTGCAGACGAGGCCGCCGCCGCCTCAATTTATTTATGGAAATTCATGAAAGAGCGAGCACCTGAACCGGGAACGTGCTGCAAACCAAGAGGAGGAGATGGGAGCTGATGACAGGCATGCACAGACAGAACAGCAAAGAGCACCTACTCTGCAGACTGGGCAGGTTGGCATCCTCGGGTTTGGTTTTCAGCAGATGAGGGAGGCGAGTGTATCTGTAGCCAAAACCACAACCCTGAGGAAGAGAGAGGGATGAAGGTCAGCAGAGCTGCAGGGAGACAGCTTCTCTCAGTCAAACTGCAAAAACACTGGAGCGTCTGGAAGATGATCGCTGAAGCATCAGTGCTGATCATCTTCCAGACGCTGTTTTACTTCTTGCAGCACTAACACTTCATCAGTGCTGATTTCACTGATTAATTAACAATAAACGATCAATAAATGTTTGTGTTAGACAACAAATACTGAGCAAAAGCCCGAACACGTCACTGTATCTTTGTTAAACGGCCGTGATGACCTAAAGAACTGGTTAAACGCTGATTTTCATCTTAAAGAAAGACGCCATGTCTGCTTGTGCTGACCGGCCTCTCTCGACCACTCAGGGCGGTGCATCCGTCAGTCTGTTCAAAGCTTGGCTGTGATTGGTGACAGCCGCTGCTCCACTTTCACCTGAGGCAAGACAGCGTGAACATGTTAACCCTTTGCGAGCTTCATTTCGTGGAGGATTCCTATAGAGACTGAATGTGTTGGTGCATTAGTCTGAACACTGCGGTCTGCTGATCCTCAGTAAACACCTTCAGTTCTTTCAGCTGTTGCCCTTCATACAGGAGCTGCTTCTACTTTTGCTCCAGTCTCACTCCGACTCTCTGGCCTCGAGCTCAACCTCGTCATCCTGTAAAGATACTGTTCTGTTTTCGGCTTCCTGTGAAGCTCTGCTTCTTTTAAATGTGCTGCATGAACAGACTTCACCGTGGCCCAGAGCTGACGGCAGGATCGCAGCACCTGCTCATACCAGCTGAGCAAGTAAAATTGATTTATAGCGCTTTTCACAGATAAAAACCACAAAGTGCTTTAACACACAAGAAATGGAAATATGTTTTATTTACAGTTACATTGTTTTATAAGCGGAAATTAATAAAATGCTTTTCTAAATAAAAATGTCTGCAGCCGTTTTTTAAAACAATGAGTCCGTGCAGCGTAGAGACCGTGGGAGAGACTCCACAGCCGTGGTGCGCTGCCACCAGCGCCTCTGATCTAATGACCGTAAAGCTCGAGAAGATGAGTGCCGTGTCAGCAGGTCGGATAAATATTGGAGACCATGCAGGGCCCTAAAGGTTAGAGATAAAAATTTAAAATCAAACCTAAAACTTACAGGCAACCAGTGAAGGGAAGCTAAAACTGGAGTAACACGAGACCTTCTCTTGGAGCCTGTTAACAGTCGCGCTGCAGCCTTCTGCGCCGTCTGAAGACGATTTAAGGCTGATTTGTTAAAACAAGTAAAAGGTTACAGTAGTCTAACCGAGAGGAAGTAAAAGCATGAAGAATCATCAAGTTCAAGCTTTGACTCCATTAGTCTGAGTTTAGAAACATTCAGTAAATGATAAAAACAGTTTCGGACCAGCTGCTCGAGCGACAGCGAGCTGTCAGACATGGCACCGAGGTTTCTGAGGCTCGATTTTACAGGAGGGTCTAAGAAGCTGATATGCTGAGTTTCTGTCTTATCAGAGTTTAGTTGGAGGGAATTGTCATTTAACCGCTGGTTGATTTCTGTCAACCAATGACTTCAATTAGACAATTTATAAAAGTCAGAAATCCTGAAGGAACAGTACAGTTGGATGTCATCAGCATAGAGATGATAGGAGATATTTTTATAGCGCTTAATAATTTGGCTCGGGGGGAATATATAAAGCAGAACTAGAACTGGACCCAGGACAGGTCCCTGAGGCTCCATGATTCATGAACAGTAAAAGATCTCTCACACAAATATGACATTTTAAAACAACAGCAGTAATCCCAAACAAGTTCTTGAGTCTGTTTATCAGGATGCTGTGATCTACAGCATCAAAACCAGAGCTGAGATCCAACAGGACCAGCACTGCGTCCTCTCCAGAGTCTGCTGCCATCAAGACATCACTGGATACTGTAAGGGAGGCCGTTTCAGTGGGATGCAATTTACAAAAACCAGACTGGAAAGTGTCCACAACTGCATTTTTATCCAGGAAACAGTTAAGTTGTTCTACTACTACGTTTTCTAAAACCTTCTATATAAAAGGCAGTTTGGATATTGGCCTGTTAGGACGAGATGGATCCAGCTGAGGTTTCTTTAATATTGGCTCAACCACAGCTTGTTTAAAGAAGCTGGAAACTGAGCCAGTATGAAGAGAAGTGTTTATCATTTCCACAATACAGGGGCCAATGGAATCAAACACACTAGTGAAAGGTGACGATGGAAGGACATCGAGGGGGCTTGAAGTCTGCTTTATATGACAAAGCAGGACTTTGATGTCCTGTAACAGGAGTAAAATAAATGTTTGTGACTGAGCCGCCTCATCACTGACGTGACCCAAACCCACGAAGATGGAGTTTAGGATAAACGCCGAGAGAGTGTGTGTCTGTCTGTGTGTGTGTGTCGTGTGTGTGTGTGTGTGTTGTGTGTGCTGTGTCTGGGTGTCTGTGTCTGTCTGTGTGTGTGTCTCTGTCGTTTGTCTGTGTGTGTGTCTGTGTGTGTGTGTGTCTGTGTGTGTGTGTCTGTGTGTGTGTGTGTGTCTGTGTGTGTCTGTGTGTGTGTCTCACCCTCCACAGTCTGACCAGGATCCAGTTGGTCTGGGCCCAGGGTCTCTGCTCGTATGGAGCCAGCAGGTTCTTCATCATGGCCACTCGCCTGGAATCAGACAGGTGAGCATCAACACGTCACTTCCTGTCAGCTCCGACACATAAACATCATTTCAGTGAGAGCAGCTGTTTCCAGGACAGCTGAACAGCTGCTCTGATGCTGCTAACGTCACCGCAGACGTTCAGTGAGCAGAGCTCTGGCTCGGCTCGCACATCAGGCTCGATTACAGCAGCTAAAAAGGCACAAACAATAAAAACAATGCACCCACTTCTCACCCAGCTGTCAGAGTGCGAGCGTGCTACACGTGGAGAGGACTAACACACAGACCGAGGGCGTCGACCGAGGGAGGAAGCAGCAGCGGCGGCACGCATCGTGCAACTTCCCTGTGAGCAGACAGAGCTGAGGGACGTTTAATCCTGACTGATGCTCAGAAACGATGCCGTGTGTCGTTTAGTGTAAGGAGACAAACTAGGCTGCTCATCACGAGCTGCACGCCGGACACACGTTGATCCATCAGCTGTGGCGACCTGACACCACATGACATCAATCCCTTCAGGAGCTCCGTTTGTGAGCGCAGCTGTTATTCACATCAGACTGCCCGCCGTCTCTGCCGACGCCCCGCTGCTGGTCCCGCCCTGATGTTTGAACCCTGCCGGCAGGTTTGAGGGTCAGAGGTCAGATGAAAACAGCTCTCAGAGTGGGTGTAGTGCATGGATCCAACTACACCACCCCACAAACTCCAGCATGTTACAGAGGGCACAGCGTGGCTTTATTAAACCCTCTAACAGCCTTAAATGCTGCCAGCCAATAAGAATCCACCATTAGCAGATTTAGACTTTCTATTTTAAATGCGTCTCATCGCAAAGACTCGAGCGCTGCGTCCGAATTCACACAGGAGGGGAGCCGCTGGTATTTAATGTGGCATGCTGATTGGTCGGTTCAAAGATAACTGGAGCCACGGGATTGGACCGCTGCAGGACATGAGCTCACGGCCGCCCCTCTCGGTGGAGCAGCGGTTAGCGCCATTGGCTCACAGCAGGAAGCGTCTCCCCGAGGTCGCAGGTTTCCTCCCGCACGCCAAGCACGCGCTCGTTAGCTTAATTGACTGCAGGTGAGAGAGTGAGTGGCGAGTGTGCGTCACCCGCGATGGACTGGCCACCTGTCCAGGTGGGATGGGCGAGTAAGTGTTTACTGATCACTGAAGAGCAGCAGCTCAGTCACCCTGAAGGTTTTTCTGGAAAACAGAATCAAACCAGACTCACTGCTCCTCCGGGATCCTCTCCACAGCCCTGAGGGATTGTGGGTAACAGACGTAGCTGGCCAGCGCTTGCATCAGAGAGTCTTTGATATCTGTGGAGAGAGAGCAGATCAGAGATTCAAAGACAGCTGGAAAAATAAACATTGCAGCAGGAAAACAGCTTTACTGTGTGCAGCAGCGCCCCCTGCAGTTTGCTTCCAGGTCGGTCTCACACACACGATCAGTTACACCTTTCTAATGACACACTGTTATCAGCAGGCTCTCACTTTCCCATCCTCTACCCTTCCTCCTCCTCATCTTCAGTCTCCTCATTAAAAATGGCAGTGAGGCGCGTCTAAGCAATTACATCCACCCAGTCTCCTCCGCTGTCCTCCAGCAGGACTTCATAATTAACAGGTCCCGCCTCGCCGTTTGGACCAGACCGCTCGAGGCCGGATTTCCCCGCACGGCGTTTTATCTCAGATGATGGATGGAACTGCTGAACTCATCATTTCTGCTGCGAGGCGTCCCGCGGTCCTCGGGGGATTCGGTTCATTAGTTATGGTGGGCTCCAGTGCTCGCCCTCCGTCTCCTCGTAGATGCACGTTCGGTATGAATGTGAAGCTGCTACGTCACCTCGTTCAAGTTATCACATTCACACATCCCCGGGCGGGCGGTGTCGACGCCACCCCATCAGCCGTTTCCAGGCGACGGGTCACAAACCGAGGCTAAATGTTCCGTCCTCAGCCTGGATCCAGATCAGCTCTCTGGATTACACCAAGAGTATCAGGAACCTTTGACTGTGGGTGGGACCCATGTGACCTGCTCACACGACACCCTCCTACAGTTCTGGCCAACATGCAAACATCTCCACCCCTGTAAGGTGGTCATTCATAGACGAGAGATGGTGAGGGGCTCAGAGGAGAGCCGCTGCTCCTCTATATGGAAGGGAGGCAGTGGAGGAGGTTCAGCATCTGACCAGGAGGCCCAGCACACACAGCTGGAGATTACAGAACCCACAGAACAGCTGGAGGAGGTGGAGGTCCAGGAGTGGGTGGGTGGAGTAAGTGTTGACCACCCAGCAGGGGGCGCTGCTGCACAGAGGGGCTAGCTTCCTCTGACTGGAGCTGATCTGCACTAAACGACAAACACTGGTAGAGCAGGGCGATATGGCCAAAAATATTTATCACGATATATATTTGAAAATTTGCGATAACGATATAAC